AGTTTTTTGATCAAACAAAAAACAACCTGTGTTCAGGGACTCCTTAGGAGTTCTGAACAGTAGACATATTTTTTCAATGACAATGCAAATATGTCAGACCAGTGAAGCCAGCACTGTGCCTGGTTCTCACATCTTCACACATATGGTGACACACACACAGTTTTCTGCTGCGGACTCAAGAGAATATTTTCAGTTTTGACCCGTGAAAAACAAAAACTAGAACAAAGCACTTGCTCATCTGCCGGAGAAATCTTGTCAGAGGTAAAGGCCCACAAGGCTGTTGTGAAATGAATGGCTTTAACCGTGCATTATTCTTCAACTCACAGATAAAGTAAAAGGTGGAGTCCCTTTTCAAACGATGATGGCTGGCGTGCATGTATGAGTGTGTGCAGGTGTTAGCCTTTTAAAATGTCTGTAACATCCCTAATCACAGACAAGTGGATCTAAGGTCTAGTTAGAACTCTCATCTACCTACACAGGGGCTCCCAAGACCTGTCACATGTCCCAAGAAAGCCCTGGTACCCAGAAATTTATATCATAGACAGAAAGGGGAAGGCAAAAATGGAAAATGAAAATATAGCAGAAACAAGGATGTAAGGAGAATTGCCTGCCACTCTGTTAAGTGACACTTTCACACTGAGAATGAAGTTCTGAATCTGATCATGAGATGATGCCCATTTTGGTTCATCAAACATATGAAGAGGCTATAATGATTTTAACTTACTGAATCACTGTTTTATGATCATCCAATAACTTTCTGTTATTGTGCATGTGTGCTTGGTTTTGTTTTTGAGAAAGGGGCTCACTATGCAGCCCCGGCTGGCGTGGAGCTCACTCTATAGACCAGACTGGCCTTGAACTCACAGAGATCACCTGCCTGTCTCCGGAGTGCTGGGATTAAAGGCATGGGACCTGCTTGGGTGTTTTTAACTTTTTAAAAAAATCACATGTATCAGCATTGCGTCTGCATGACCATCAGTAGGTGCTAGGAATTAAACCTAAGTCCTCTGGAAAGAAAAACAGTCAGTGCTCTTAACCACTGAACCATCTCTCCAGCCTCCCCTCCAGCTGTTTTTGAGAAAGGCCTGCACAGCCTGGTACTCACCAGGTCATCCAGGCTGGCCACTAACTCACAGCCATCTTCCTGGGATGATAGTTGCGTGCCACCATGCCCAGAGCTACGGCTCTGAATCGAGATTTGATTATGCATGGTTTGGTGTGCTTGTTGACTTTCGAGTATGGACACTACAAATGCACTGTAGACAGCAGCCAGCCTCTGGGAGGATAGAAATGTCCGTTTCAGAAGCAGACAGTGCGAGTGCAGACGGTTCACAGTAGAACACTGACTGTGACATCTAAATGTCACAAAAAGCTGAAGCCAAGAGCACTGTGCTAAACCACAATTGTCAAAGTCAAGGAGACAGTCAAATTGATTTTGTAGATGGGACATATTCAAGTATTAGAATTTCCATGTAGCCGGGCAGTGGTGGCGCACGCCTTTAATCCCAGCACTTGGGAGGCAGAGGCAGGCGGATTTCTGAGTTTGAGGCTAGCCTGGTCTACAGAGTGAGTTCCAGGACAGCCAGGGCTGCACAGAGAAACCCTGTCTAGAAAAACCAAAAAAAAAAAAAAAATTCCATGTAAGTCACAATTTCTGAGATTTAAGAAACAGTAAGAAGTAACCTCAGCCTTCCTACTAACCCTGCCCTTGAAATCTCACTTCCATCACACGCAAAAACACGATCACTGCTTGCTGTTCCAAAGTGCCCTAACATCTACACAGACCGACAGTCGCATCTGTGAAGCAGGCTTTTTTTTTTTTTTTTAAGGAAATGAGATAAGAGAGAAGGCAGCAGAGAGGAGGTGTCTTGGTTTGAATCAGAATGCATCCCATAGGTTCATATATTTATTTGCATGCTTAGTCCCAGTTGATGGGAGGTGCGTCCTTGTTGGAGGTGTGCCACTGGGAGTCTCTCTGCCTGAAGAATAAGAATGTAAAGCTCTCAGTTTCAGCACCATGCCTCTCTGCTTCCCAACATGATGATAATGGATTAGCTGGTAAAACTGTAAACAAGCCCCCAATTAAATGCTTGCTTTTTGAAAGATGCCTTGGTCAGGGTGTCTCTTCACAAGAATAGAACAGTGACTAAGACAAGAGGGAAGGGAAAGGAGGGGAAAAGAAACAAGGGCAGGACAGGAGGAGATGACAGCACCAATCTCAGCTCTTGCAGTGTGGCCTAAGTCGATGAAAGGCAACTTCTTACCACACATCACAGGTTTTAGAAGTTCACTGAATAAACATATGGCGCTCACATTTCAAAGGTGTTTGCCAGGAAATACCAAAGGCAGAGAAAACCCAATAATTACCACTTTTAGGTTCAAAGGGCTGGAAGAGAATTTTTTTTTCCTTTAAATTATCCACTGAACACCTAAAATTGTAGGGCACACCATGGGAATTTCACCATGGGGAATGGTATGTGAGTGTGTGTGTGTGTGTGTGTGTGTGTGTGTGTGTGTGTGTGACATTAGGTTTTAAAGTGTTACATACTCATGACTGATCCTTCTAGAATGTTTTAAAATTCTAACATTGAGCTTCAGTGGCAGCAGTGCCGTGTATGCAGTTGGCATCAAACAGTTGAGAGTTGCAAGTTGACCTGCTTTCATAAAACGGAAGGCACTGTTGTATCTTGTATTAGAAGGCTTCTCTTTAGATCTGGTAGCCACTGAGGAGTCTAAACAGCACCCATGGGTTCACTGGACATTCTGCTCAGATGACTAAGAGCAAGACTGGAATGGAAGTTGTGTACATTCTGACTCCATCACTAAAACCCAGATTGTGAGTAGCTGCTACCCCACACCCCACATGCCCACAGCCGGAAAGACCAAAAATAAGATGTCACGTCTGCTGGTGAGGACACAAAACAACAGTAAAAATGAGAGTAGTACACCACAGGGTGATTTCCCTAACAGCAGCAGGTGGTAGGCAAGACAAGAGAGTGTCCAGACCTTAGCATTTCAGCATCAGATCTGTGACTACAGTAACTGTGTCACACACTAACTGCCACCGCAGGGTTCCTTTGTAGTGCTGAGGAGTCCAATATCGGGATGAGACATTTCTGCTGATACAATGGCCGTGATAACCCTACTGATATATGGGCTCCCGCACATAAATAAAAATTTCTTTCTTTTTTTTTTAAGTTTCCACTTGCAGATTGCTGTCTGTGTAGGATGAAGACAACTCAGGATGTTTATTTTCAAATGTTTTCCTCTCTGGAAAATAGGATCCATCTTACACCAACCTGTATTTTATAGAAATGTACATATACTAGGGTTGTTCCTTTTGCTGTATTAAAAGCAATTAATCAAAAGAAGAATACCTTCCCTCTTTTAACCTCATAGAGATGATATGGGCTCCTCCTAGTTCTCTCAGCTTCGGGAAACAAACAAAATAAAAAACCATTTATGCAAAAGTCATTTGAGATAAATAAAGCATTACGCAAAAATGTCCCTATGTCAATACCAACCATATAAGTATCTAGGGATTAGGTGAGATCCCTCTGGGGACAGAATAAAAGCTCTCTCTCCTGTAGCCCCATGCTAGGATTGTAAGGCTTCTAAGCTAACACAGTGAAAAAAGAGTCCCGGGGCTGGCAGGAATTTGTGTTTTCTTGCCAGTGAAATCATCTGAAATATTTACTTTGAGGAAATTAAATCTGAATCCGGATCTGGGTGTAGGGGCACACAACTGTAGATCCAGGACTTACTTGGAAATGGAGGCAGGGAGATTGTGAAACCCTGTCTCTAAAATACAAAAGAACACCAAGGGGATGGGGAGATGGGCCCATGGTTAAGAGCGCTTGCTGTTCTTGCAGAGGACTGAAGTTTAGTGCACAGCACCTACGTCAGGGGCCTTGTAACTCAAGCTCAAAGGGATTTAAGGACACACCCTCCCGGCCACACCCTCACCTCACCCCTAAGGTCTTCTGGTCTCCTTCAGCACCTGCATTCACATGCAGGTACACAGACACATAGTTTAAAATTACAATTAAAACAACAAAACCCAAACAAACATCTGAAGTTGTCCTTTGATTTCTGTCCCCCTGCCCAGTAGTCTAACCAATTGCTCTTGTCTGTGGACAAACACAAACTCACACCTCTTTGCTAAAGAGATCCCTTGGGCTTTCTTTTAGAAACTTTTGTTGCGTAGAAATTCCTCATGATTGAGCCCTCCATGGAGCTCAGCAATCCTCCTGAGACGCACTCTCAGACACATGCTTCATCTTGAAATGCTGCCCAATTAGCTCATCTGAAAGCCTTTTCCAGACACGGCATGCTCTAATTATCTCGTCTGACTGTTTAATCTCCTATATGAAATCTCAGCAAACAGGCTGCGCTTTACTGAGGTTGTATGTTTTCAACGTGTTACAGTGGGAAATACAGAAGTGTGTGTGTGTGGGGGGGGGAGTTAAGGAGTCTGGAAGAAAAGGGATTCAAATGGAAACAACCTTTTCAAGTGGTTGGTAGGTTTATGTCCAATCTTGATTGTGGCACATTGACCTATATTCTCTTCACATTTGTTTGTCTCATAACATATATTATTATTTTTTAATTTTTTAAAAAATTATTTTATTTTATGTGTAGCGGTGTTGTGCCTGCATGGATATCTACGCACACTACTTATGTCCATAGTGGCCATGGAGGACAGAAGAGAACATTAGACCCCCTGGATCTGGAGTTGCAGATGGTCGTGAGCCATTTATGTGGGTGCTGGAAATGAAACCCAGGACGTCTGGAAGAACAGACAGATCTCTTAACCGCTGAGCCATCATCTCTCCAGCCCCTATTATTTTTAATGTTACACTTCTTTACTTGTGGGTGTGAGTGTGGGCACACATGCAGGTCAGAGGATAACTTGGTGGAGTTAATTCTCATCTTCTACCTAGGGAGTCGAACACAAGCCGTTAGGCTTGATGGCAAATGTTTATACCATCGGAGCCATCTTGACAGCCCAACACATATTGCTTTTTAATAGGGTACGAGAGAGCAAGTCGCATAGGAAGAGTCTCAAGAAATCCAGATAATTATGATAGCTGCATATACCAACAGGGGCTCGTATTTGAGGGCTGGAAAGAAAGTTCCCCTTTCTCTCTCAACACACTGGGACAATGTTAAATTCATAAAATAACTTTAAAAATAGAAGATAAATAGGATATCAGGAGAAAATAAAGAAAAGCATATTCCCTTTTAGGGATAATTAACTTAGCAAAATATAATTAGGCATTTGAACCTCAACAGTTACAGAGCACCATTAAATATTCACACACACAAATATCCAGGCAGCTAAGGATCCATGTCCTTGGTCACAAACACCAGGACACTCAGCTCACGGGGTTGGGACCCATGTGGATGATAACGTGCTTCTCGTAAGCCCTTCTCATTGTTTTCTCAATCTGCTTGAGAAAAACCTGGGGGATCCGTCCACACAGGGTATGCACCGTCTCCAAAAACTTCAGCTGCAGAGGGTAGTACATAGATTGAAAAAGATTGTCCTGAAAGGGAAACTGAAAGATAAGAAGAGAGAAAGGAAGGAAGAAAGAAAGGAATAAATTTGTCATTCAAGTGCTGTTTAAAACACAAGTCACTCTTATTAAAACACATAACACAGTGTAAGCTCACTAAATTTTTGGGCCAGTGGTACAGCCCCAGGGCATCATGTAACTCTCTGGCCCTTCAATTCTGTTTTCTATATTTTTTTTTTTTTGCAGTAGAGTCTTCTATAACTAAGACTAACCTTGAACTTTGAATTCATTTGCCTTCACTTCTAGTGTATTGGGATTATAGGCCTATAGCATGATGCCCAATAACCCCCAAACAACCCCCAAAATATGATTTGCTTATCTTCCTACTTTCAAGTCTGAAGACAATGTCTATGTCTAAGGGGTAGAACACAAGGCTAAAGCAGACAATCATTTGAAATCTACTACAAACAAAACACTGAGTTTAGCCGGGCGGTGGTGGCGCACGCCTTTAATCCCAGCACTTGGGAGGCAGAGGCAGGTGGATTTCTGAGTTCGAGGCCAGCCTGGTCTACAGAGTGAGTTCCAGAACAGCCAGGGCTACACAGAGAAACCCTGTCTCGAAAAACCAAAAAAAAAAAAAAAAAACACTGAGTTTATTATTTTCAAAAGACTTATTTATATTTATCTTATGCATATACATGGATGTATATACACTTCCTGCATGCCTGGTACCCACAGAGGTCAGAAGAGGGTACTAGATTCATTGGAACTAGAATTACAGGCAGTTATGAGTCACAATGTGGGTGCTGGAATTTGAACCTGGGTCCTCTGCAAAAGCAGCAAGTGCTCTTAACCAAGGAGTAATCTCCCCATCCCTAATTAATCAACTAATTACCTGACTAGTTAATTAATTAATTTATTTATTTGCTATCCAAGAAACTCAAGGGCATGTCTATGGTGGCTACAGAAAGCCAAGAGTTAAGCAAATACAGGTGTCTTAGCAAAACACTCTAGGCCCCAGGCTGGGGATGTGGCTCACTGTTGAAGCACTTGCTTAGCATTTCAGAGTTCTGACTTTGATCCACAACATAGGGTCAAGTGTGAAAGACTAGGGGGAAAGTAATCAAGAGGCCAAAGGTCAGTGATCATTTTGAGTTTTTAAAATTCACTCCGTATTGAACATGTGAAGATTTGACTTGTTTAATGTCTCTTAATTTCCTCGTGGGATATATGAAAGAGTAGAATTTTCCAAAATAAATCTTTTGGACTACTTGGACACTAGCATGTGCCAAGCTTTATCACCATCCTTTCCAAAGAGAAAGGCCAGCTGGTAAATCAAGTCAGAGTTTAACTCTTGCCAATGAAAACCCTAGGGAGTCAAAGAGGGAGAAACAGGTCAAAGGGCAAGCCACTCTAGCCCCAGAGCAGAGTGGATGGGTGTCTACTTTCGTAGAACAAGTCCCCCAGTTGTTCAAGGACATCAGAAACATTGCTTCAGCATGTTGATCAGTAAGGTGTTGAGGTAACTTGAAAATGAGCCACACACCAGCTCGGGCTTGGGACACGGTAGCTTTCTCCCACAACCCTCAACCAGACAACCAGTCCCATCTCCACAGCCCTGCCTGCCTACCTTCCCACTTCCACACAAACTCCCTCTAACTCAGTTCCAGCTAGCAACCTCACAAACAGCCCGGTGTCTCCTTCCTCTTGCAAGTCTGCAATTAGTTGACATAAGCCACCAAAAGTCACAATTGTCACTTTCCTGCCCAGACTGCAGTCTAACTCTTGCTTCTAAAGCTCCAGGTGATCTGGAACCCTGCCTCATCTTCTACCTTCCCATTATCTCTCCATGGTGGCTAAGGTGACGATTTCCCTGTGCCCTGGTACACCTACTACCTTCCCCACTAGGGAGTTTCCTGATTGTGTCTTCTGGTTGGCAGGATCTTCCCTGGGTTTCCCCATGAATGCCCCCATCTGACCCAGTCCCAGGCTGGCACAGGCTTTCCCTTGACAACCTGGCTGCTGAAACATCTTACCTGTTCCTCTTAGAACTTTAAATCTTTCCATTTTGATAGGATCTTTCTTTCTTTGTTACAGAAAACTTTTATATCATCTGGCTTCCCTTACTAGAACAGAGATTTTTGTTTGTTTGTTTTTCTCTGTAGAGCCCTGGCTGTCTGGGAACTTACTCCTTGGATCAGGCTGGTCTCAAACTCAGAGATCCACCTGCCTCTCCTTCCCTAGTCCTGGGATTAAAGGCATGTACTACCACTGCCTAGCTAGAACAGAGATCCCAACCACAGGGCTTGGTCTATATTGCTAGCCTCCAAATTCCGGCAACTGGAATTATTCTTGCCTAAAGTAAGCTTTATAGATGACTGTTGAAAGAATTACTGAAGAGTATCTGTCTGATAACGTTAGGAGGGTCATGACGGGGAACAGTTAGACCAGTCCATCATACAAGCACATACATGCAGGGTTAGGCTTCGTGCATATGAGAAAGAAAGACAGCACACTAGGGAAAGAAAGATGTGAAATGCTTGCCTACATTGTCTACATACTGAATACAACTGTCAGGTGTGTGATTAAAGTCTAAAAGCCATCATTTTGTTAATCCTCATAACCATCTCATTAGGGAGATAATACTTTTAAAAAGTCTCTCTCACCCACTCACTCTGCACACACACACACACACACACAGAGACACACACACCATGTGTGTCCACAGAAGCCAGAAGAGTTTATTGGACTCTGTTGAGCTGGAGTCATAAGTGGCTGTGAGCTATCTGACATGCATACTGGGAACATCTCGGGTCTTTTAGAAGAGTGATTACTCTTGACCTCTGAGCCATTTCTCCAAACTTTAGAAGGTAACATTACTATCTTCATTTTATTTTGTTTTTTAAACTTACTTTATTATTCTTATTTCATAAGCATTGGTGTTTTGTCTGCATGTATGTCTGTGTGAGGATGCTAAATCCTCCAGAACTGGAGTTACAGACACTTGTGAGTTGCCACGTGGATGCTGGGAATTGAACGAGGGTCCTCTGGAAGAGCAGCTAGTGCTCTTAGGTGCTGAGCCATCTTTCCATCCCTTTATTATTTTCATTTTACAATGATGAAATCAACTGAGGCTCAGTAAGGTAACAGCAGTTAATGACTAATCTGAGGGTGATAGAATTGGGGTTTGAGCTCAGGTCCAACAGGCAGGAAGCCAGCTCTGATCCTTTTGCATATGGTAAGAACATCACAGCCCAGGAAGCGGGTATAGGGCAACACATATTCGCTCCCATGTTGATTTGGAGCCAGCGGCTGTCCCGATGGAAATGCCAGAATGAAAACTGTCTTTTAGGGCTAAACTGTGGAACCCCATGGAGTGATTATATAGAACTGTTTAAGACAGAGTCATTTGGGTGCCTTTCTGATCCCCGAGAGAACAGAGCAAGATGAGTCATAACCCAGCCACAATTGCTCAATCCCCAAGCAGGGCCAGATCACAAGGGAAAGTGGAGCCCACGCGGCTGCATGCTTTCTTGACTTCCACCCGTGCTGGGGATGGGTTTCCCCCTTGAGTCAGTGTTTGCGTAACCAAGTGTGTGAATGTCATGGAGTGCAAAACAGATTGTGTAATTCAATCACTTGCCCTTTGAAAACTAAACAGCAGGAAGCAGGAGAAGAGGTGCTTAGATGCATGGTAAGTGATCCCCTGTGGGGAGGACAGGCCTGGCATCTCCAGAACTGGAATTCTTTAGTAAAATGCTCATCTTCATACAGAGAGATGTATTACAGGCTAGGGGATGGGTCACGAAGATGCCTTACAGGCCGGGAGATGGCTCAGTGGGTAGAGTGCTTGCCATAAAGTATGAGGACCTCTGTCTGGAACCCCAGAACCCACAAGTAGCATGTATCTGTAATTCCTGTGCTCCTATGGTAGGATGGGAGACAGAGATGGTGGAGTCCTCAGAATCTCATGGACCAGCTATTCTGACAGAGACCCTGCCTCCACAAGGTAGAAGGTGAAGAACAACATCCGAGGTTGTGCCCTGACCTGCACACATGACTGTGGCATGTGCATATATATCTGAATGCCATCACTGGGTTCCCAGATCTTCAAGAAGAAAAAAAAAATCTTCAATACAGTCTATATCAGGGGATCAGCAAACAGTTCTTGTCGGGGGTGGGGAGGGGTAGACAACAAATAGTTTGGGCATTGTGGAACCCACAGTCAAGACCAATAACCTCTGCTGTTGGAATGCCAATTCAGCCAATGGCAGTGCATGAATGGAAAAGGTCACTGTGTTGACCTTTTCTTTTTTTTTTTTTTTTTTTTTTTTGGTTTTTCGAGACAGGGTTTCTCTGTGTAGCCCGGGCTGTCCTGGAACTCACTCTGTAGACCAGGCTGGCCTCGAACTCAGAAATCCTCCTGCCTCTGCCTCCCAAGTGCTGGGATTAAAGGCGTGCGCCACCACTGCCCGGCCTGTGTTGACCTTTTCAATGAATGCCGAAACACAAATCTCCTATGGATTCCTCATGTCGAAAAAAAATCTGCTGATCCCTGCCCTGCGTCTTGGAGGGACAGCTTAAGGAGGGCACTCCTTGTAAGTACCTGTTGATGGCTTCCTACTAGTAATCTCAATATCAAGGTAAAAGGTAAGGGGGCAACACAGAATTTCCCAAGGGAATAGTTCACACAACCCTGAATCGCCCCTTAGCCTGTGTTCACACATCTCTTCAAGGAAGAAAGAATGGGCTCAAACTGTATGAGGTTTCACTCCCTCCATGGGAGCATTGTACATAATATCATCCTTTTTTCATGGGGGTACCTTCCTACACTCTTGGTGGATGCCTAAGACCACGATGAGTAAGTACCGAACCCTACAGACTGGATACCTCATGGCTACTACGCGAATGGTGGGTGAGTAACGTATCCCGTGTGGATACATGTACAGAGAGGTGATTCACATCCCTGGCAGGACTGAGCAGGATGGCATCAAATTTCATGTTCCTGGGAACAGCCCACAGTTTACAACTTAGGAAGCGTGAAACTCTGGGATTTTCTATGTAATATTTTGGGACCACGGTAGGACATGGTGACTGAAACCATGCGAAGTAAAACCACAGGGAAGGGGTTCTACCATACGTGATCTCTGAAACCAAACACATACAGCTACAGGGCTCTGGCTCCCCATTCCTAACTCATGGTTCATGATATATGAACCAAAAGTTCAAGACCTCTTGGCTATAAGAAGATTCCTACTATCCAGGAGGCATCCACACAACTCCTATATATCCCCTTCGATGGTACAAATGGCAGGCACCTTTTTGCTTCTTGCTTGCACTGTAAGTCAATAAGAGCTTGGTCAGCTAAGGATATGGTTCAGCAAAGAGCTTGTACGCAAACTTAAGGACCTGAACCTGATCCCCAGGACCCATGTAAAAAGCTGTGTGTGTCAGAGCATACCTATAATGCCAGCACTGGGGAGGCACAGACAGTAGGATCTTTGGGTTTACTAGCCAAACCAGTGCGCTCTAGGTTACGTCTCAAAATATAAAGTAGAGGGGCTGGAGAAACGGCTCAATAATTAAGGGCACTGGCTGCTCTTCCGGAGAACATGGACTCAATTCCCAGCACCCGCGTGGTGTCTCACGATCCTCTATAATTCTAGTTCCAGGAGATTCAGTGATGACTTATGTCCTCCAAGGACACCAGGCACACATGTGGTGTACAGGCATGGATGCAGACAAGACACTCATACACACATTTAAAAATGGTGGTTAGTGATTGAGGAAAACATCCAGTGTCAACCTCCGGTCTCCATACGCACACTCACCACACATGGACATACAGAAGACACCAAACATGTACACACACATACACAAACAAAGAAAAAAAAAAAAAAAGAAACTGACCAGCTGCTGCTTTTAATGTGGCAGCTTCTACCAGCCTGAGACATGATTGCTTAAGACCTTAGAGCTGGTAACCAGGCAACACGCTTAGCTTGAACTAAATAAAACAATCTTATTTTTGTTGCATTTTCTTTACCCGGAACTCTTACTCTACAGGATGACAAAAGGCATAGGAGTTCTCTTTGGGAGTATTTGGCATTCAAGGTACCCATGAACCACTTGAAGTGGTACCCATGAAGCACTTGAAGTGCATCACACTGGTAAGCATATATCTGCTGAGTGGTGCTTTGAAGAGCACACTTACATCCCGGATTGCTTCATAGAGTGCTCGGAAAGTGGGCTGCTTGTCGTCGTGGTAGACGCCACGGTTGCCATGCAGAACAGACACACCTTCCCGCTCAGCGTCTTTGCAGTTGCTTCCGTACATGCAGTGATCAGGGCGGTAGTTCCACTGGCAGGGGAACACGTAGAGACACTCTGATGGCAACAGAGGAAGAGATACAGCTATGGTCAGTGCCAGCTGTCGCCTGTGTGTCCGGTGCTAAAAACTTAATATTTATAAACCACACACTGTGCACGATTTCAATGCTTATGATTGTGGCTATGAGTTCCAGGTCAAATATACCACACTTGTTTAAATTCCAAGAACAGTGATCGAAGGGGTACCTGTGAGTGATGGTGGAAAAAGACAAACAGCATCTAAAACAAGGAGTTAAACCAGGGCATCAAGTAGCCTAGTGTCTTAGTTTGTTTCTCTGTTGCTGTGATGAACACTATGTCCCAAAACTACCTTGGAGAGGAAAGGGTTTAATTCATACCAACTTCCAGATAACAGTTTATCACCGAAGGAAATCAGGACAGGAGCTCACGGCAGGAAGCTGCAGGCAGGCACTGAAGCAGAAGTCATGGAGGAATGCTGCTTACTGGCTTACTCTCCATGACTTGCCCATTTTGCTTTCTTATACAATGCTGGACCACTTGCCCGGGGGAGGACAAGTGCACAGTGGGTGGAGCCCTCCCACATCAATCATTAATCAAGAAATTAATGCCCCACAGATATGCCCACAGGCCAACATGATGGAGTTAATTACTTAACTGTGATTTTTCCTGTGTCAAATTGACAAAGGCTAACCAGCACAGTTGGGTCTGAACCAACCCCAACTTCTCACTCATCAACAGTGGAACCTGGAACTGGCCACTTCACTTCTAGACACCCCAGACTCCTCATCTATAAAATGGGTCTAACAGGATCTCCCTGATTTTGTTTATTAAAATATGTCAGGCTGCCGGGCGGTGGTGGCACACGCCTTTAATCCCAGCACTTGGGAGGCAGAGGCAGGCAGATTTCTGAGTTCGAGCCTAGCCTGGTCTACAGAGTGAGTTCCAGGACAGCCAGGGCTACTCAGAGAAACCCTGTCTCAAAAACAAAAACCAAAAAAAAAAAAACCCCCCCAAAAAAAAAAGGTCAGGCTGAGGGTGAGAAGTTGTTTAACATTCATGAAACCCTATGTTCAATCCCTAGAACCTCAAGGGGGGAAAAATCAGATACACAGCAAACATGTGCCAAGCACACAGGACAGCCCAGGAGTGTCAGCAATGAATCATTTCTTTGGAAAGGTTTTGTCAAGTGGAGAGGCTCACAATAGAGGAGCTGAGATTCAAGAGTTCTCTTCAGATTCAAAACAACCCAAATACAATGGTACCACATCCTTCCCAAACAGGCTGGACTAACTCTCCAAACACATACATCTAGAGGGAACACTTTATTTTAAGGAGCACCAGTGGACAGCAGCACACAGTCCACCTGGATCAGTGCTAATGAACCATTCCCGGACATGCAGGACCATTCTCTACCACCTCGTGAGCCACAGATCTCTTTGGGAATCTAATGGAACCTTTAGACCCAGAGTATGAAAAATGACAAGTCGGGAAAAACACAGACTTACAAGAACGGTTGCTTGTAAGTTTAGGGCCTCATACGTCTCCTGAATACCAGCTAAAGTAACCCAGCTGCCAACCTCAAATACAGAACGAAACTCGGGAAGAAATTCAATTTACATTTTGACAGAATTTTCTGGAGTGAGAAATGTAAAATATACATGTGGCCACAGTCAGAGGATCTGTCCTCTGAGTCACTGCAGGGGAATGGTGTCCAGTTTGGAATACAGGCTTTAGTCAGGATGCAGTTCTGACAGAAACAAAGGCTTGGAAGAATACTCCAGGAAGAAAGTGGTCTGATCGTGTTAAAATTTTGGAAACCAGAATGTGTTTAAGAGGAAGATAAGTCGTCTGGTTTTGCTGGAGAGTTGATCTTTTCAATGGTGGAGGGCTGATAGAGGACAAGCTGTCAAATCCACTGCTTTGGTCTGAAATAATTAAGACAGAAATCTGTGTTGGCTGCAGATGACTAAGTAGCTGATAAAATCTGAGGTGAGGCTGAATTGGGACCAGACATGGGGCAGGTTCCAGCCTCTAAGGTGGGGTCTAATTAATGCTGGCTTCTCAGCCCTGCTGCCTGGGTAAGCCAGCCATGGATTCTGCTGTTGGGTTTGCAGGATGTAGAAACCAGGGAATGGATGGTCCAACTGGTTTAGCAGGGATTCACTGAAGGGCAGGGCTCTTGGACAGCGTGAGATGGGGAAAAGAACAATTCTGTTCAGCAATGGGGACACTCTTACCAATTTTTTTTTAAAAAAACAAAAACAAAATAAACAAAACAAAAAAAAAGAAAGAAAAAAAAAACAGAAGAAGGTGGGCAGGCATAAAAAGTAAGATTTGGTCCAGGGGATAGCTTAGCTGGCAAAGTGCTTGTTATACAAGCTTGAAGGCCTGACTGATTCCCAGAGCTCATGTAAAAATAGCCAGGCATGACAGCATCTTTGCATTTTCAAGCAGAGAAGACAAGATCCCTGTGGCTCACTGGCCAGTCAGCTTAGCCTATATGGTGAGTTCCAGGCCAATGAGTGATCCTGTCCCCCAGCTGAGGTGTGTAGTACTTGAGAAACTACACCCATGGTTGTCCTCTGGTATGTATACACATATCACACATGTACATGAACACCCCTCAGTGGATACCCTCCATCCCTCTACCCCCTCCAAATACTCAGATGTGTCTGTTTATTTACAGGGTAACTTTGTACAAGTTACTGTCTGAACTGTGCATCTTACAAACAGGAGGAGGAGCAGGGAGTCTAAGCACATACCACTGAGAAGGCTGAATACAGGCCACACAGTGAGACCTTGCCCAAAAACAAATTTAAAAAAAATTTTAAAAAAATGAAAATTCAAGTCACCGTTTCTTGGATCCCTCGGTCTTTGCTATTTTCTCTCTCTAAATATATAAAAGGCCATTAACTGGTTCTCTATGGGTGACAGCCATTAATGATAGATACCTTTGACGAGTCTACACAGTGGCAGGGCCCACTTGCTGTTCTGATGATTCGTACCCAGTGGGTGCTGAAGATTTCGGAATGGCTCGTGCCTGATGATTTTAACTTCACAGAAAGATGAGCTTGCCACTCAATTACTACCCTCCAGCAACAGAATGGAGGAGGCTCTTACACCGTGATGATTGTATTTGGTTGTGGTGGTGCTGCACACCTATAATCCCAGCACTCAGGAGGGGGAGGCAGAACTGTTACCTGATAGCTAGTCTGTGTGGAGAGATGCTTATTTTCTCTCTCTCCCGCTGTGAGTGTGTGTGTGTGCACGTGTGTGTGTGTGTGTGTGTGTGTGCGCGCGCACTAAATGAATGAATGAATGAAGGAAGGAAGGAAGGCATAATGGATGAGTGAACTTTACACATTGTTCCATATGTAAGTATCCCTGTCCCGTCTCTTGCTGTAGTCTTCCTTCTGCCCCGCTTCCCTTTTCCCTCAGGTCCCTGGCTGTGACTTGCTTTTCCTTTTACGTCACTCTTCCACTCTATTTTCCTAATTCTATCCATCCAACCAACACTTCTGAAGTCTTGCACTGAAATGATAACAAAACCAAAACCATAAACTGCCCCTTTCTCATACGGACTCTAATAGCCTTTTGGTCCCTTGTGCTGTACATAAACTGTGGCTCGTGACCTTCTTAGTCCATCAGTGTCCAGAATAACCCCGAATTAGAAAGAATTGAATTGATCACCTGCACAGTACTGTAAAGAGAATTTAGTGTGTATTGTATGGATATATCACCTGTTAATTAAAAAGCCTATGGCCTATGGCTTAGGCAGGAAATGAAGGCAGGATATCTGAGAGGAGAAAGAATTCTGGGATTGAAGAGTCAGGTGGTAGAGTAGCCATTAAGATGTGACATGACAGAAGCTTGGTACCTGAGGACAGGTAACCAGCCATATGGCAGAATGTAAGCTAGAATAAATAGGATATTTTACTAATATCTAGACAGAGAAGAACCTAGCTATATGGCCAAGGTATTTGTAAATATATTATGAGTCTGAGTCTTATTTCTGGGAGCATGAGGCTGAGAGGAAGAACCAGGACCCAACTTCAGCACAGCACAGCACAGCACAGCACACCACACACTACGGCCTGAGGCTGGGTGTTTCCACAGTGGTGTTCATTCAATGGAGCCAAACACCCAAGGCCAGAGCTCTGGGAGACCTGGAAAGGGTGAGAATGAGGAACCAAAATAAAGCTATCAATAAGATTTGACCTGTGTGACAGGGGATCTCCTATGTGTGTCCCACAGGAGATCCCCCTAACTCTCTGGCATCACATAGTCCTGGTCTTCTAAGTACATGCCATGGGCAGGCTGGCTCTTCTCTCTCCCTTAGAGAACTCTATACTTCTCTTCTGGTGGGATGCTCTGCATTGCCATTTATACCTGGCTTGTTTTACTTTCTTTGCAGTATTTTCTAGAAATCTGCCCAAAGTGGTAGCAGACATATATGGTGGGTGGGAAAACTGCTCCTCTGGCCCCTTGCAACCAGAAAAGGATAGTCTTACGGCTGGTCTATTTCTCTCCCAACTGTAAGAAAAACCATCTTTATTTTCCTGTGGTCTCTTAAGTATTGCATGACAATTAGGCTGAACTGGACAACAGAGAATTCTGTCAGGCACTGGAATCTCTTAAGAAGAAAAGATGCCACAGCTAAGTAGGACTCTGGAGTCTAAAACAATTACTACAGTCCTTGGAAGCATCCCAAAGACAGCCTCCAGAAAGCCTGCCTTTACCTGACCCATGTGGCTGGTCTGACTGGAAAATGTGTGTGTGTGTGTGTGTGCATGTATGTGTGTGTCATATGGATTGGTGTTTTTCGTGTTTGTGTGAGAATGTGGGATCCCCTGGTATTAGAGATAAAGATAGTTATAAGCTGCCATGTGGGTGCTGGGAATTGAACCTGGGTCCTCTGGAAGAGCATCCAGTGCTCTTAACCACTGAGCTATCTCTTCAGTCCCTTGAGTGGAGTTTTAATCCCTGAGACTGAAGCTCATTCATCCTGACAGAGCTCCCTTGGGTTTTGGTCAGGT